ATAAAAAATAGCGTTAATACCAACCAGATCAACCAAACTCCGCTTGTTCACTTCTCAGCCCAATTTTTTTGCGAACTCCGGACTGGTACAGAATTTAGACACTAGACTAGACCATAAGAGACTAGACTATACCTGTTCCAACAGGAAGAAGCGCACACCGTTGCTGTTGGTGGGAGAGGTCGGTAGTCGCATGCGCACTGAGCGGGTTGGCAGTGTTGCCGCTATCCTTTCTTAAAGTTACAGATTGTTTTTATAAGTCGTTTATACCACCTTTTCAAAGACTGCTGTAGTCGTCTGGGGGGGGGTAATTACGCCCGTGTATACGAAAAAGTCAATTAATAGAAGCAGTCCATGGAATACAATAAAACAAATACCTAACCAAAACATAAATAATCCTCAAATTATCAATAGGGTTGTCAAAAGTTTCGGGTTACTTTGAGCAATTTTTGTGCTTACCAAATATGTTTTACGAACGATGAAGCTGTTGATATGCTTGCAGTTTATTTTGAATCATCTCAGAATGTCGCAGTAGCAAAGAGAGTTTACGCGACTCGATATCCAAATCGGCATCTTTGCGATGTGAGAGTTTTTACCCGATTAGTGGCGAGCTTACAAGTAAGTGGCAGTTTTCGACCTTCGTTTCAACGGCAAATAATTGGGAGAAAAAAAGAAAATATTAGCTGCGTACTGAGATATATTGAAGGAAATTTTCATTTTAGCAAAAGGGCATTATCACTTGAGTTGGGTATATCACGAACAACGGTTCAAAATATTTTTTTTTAATTTTAGGATGCACCCATATCATTTCGTTTTGCATCAGGCCTTGAAAGAGTAAGACTTTGATCGGAAGTTGGACTATTGTCATTGGATGTTGGGCATTATACGCGAAAATAGAGAATTTATATTTCAAAGTCTTTGGACCGATGAAGCCACCTTTAATAGTGACGGGAGCGTCAATCTATATAATAAGCATTATTGGTCTGCAGAAGCCCAAGCCTACACCATGCTGAAGAGTTGCCAAATTGCATGAAACAGCTGTCCATGGTTAGCCGTCTATAGTCGGACGAACGAAATCTATAATAGTAGTTTGTTCAGTGGCTAGTAGACCATACCTGCTACAGCACCAGAATCGGCAGTATCTAGTGGCCAGAGTGGTGACCCGACTGGCAATGCGAACTGGCATACGCTTCCAACAGACAGCTCACTGTTTTCACTTTCGCAGTGGTCGATTCTGGATGGCACTTGGTGCTGTCTTATTATGATTGATCTTTTTTGATGTTATAAAGTGAGACAAAATATGCTTTTGCTTAAAGACACCAGAAATTAAAACAGTGTGACTGAATTTTATTGAAAGCATTGGAAGAAAAAGTATGAATGAAAAAATGCTTGGCAACTTACACCAAACGTCATCTTATTGGATAAACTTCGTTGTGATAAAAAATTTACGTAGACATCACAGTATCAGTTACTTTTCCCTTTAAGAAAATGATTAGGCTCATAGTTTCAATAATATTCCTTATGAACATTGTTTGATATAATATCGGATAATCCTTGCAAGATATATAAAGGGTGTCATCAAAGTTCGTTTGACTTAGAGTAACGCTCGTGTTATTTTGGAAGACAAAATTGCAAAAGGTGCAGTACTACAGCGAAAAGTGGTTTCCTTGATTGAGCGTGTTATTGATTTGCCTTTCAACTTCTGGCTTATGCGCAAAAGAATATCTATATGATGATTCATAAATTCTCCAGTATTTCGTAACCAATAAGTTCGTTATAGAATGATGAAATTTGAATAACTAGAACTTTATGCTTTTGGAAGGATTTAGTTCGAAAAATGCAGGAATATCTGCACAAAGGACACGTGTTGTGGTTTGGAAAATTGAAGAAATTGTGAATGGTTCTTTCGGTGTATATTCGAGATAGAACTTTTCTGCATTATCGGGATTTAGGACTTTGCGGCCCCTGTGTCCATTGAGAGCTTTAACGGAGGGTTTCCAATTTGAATATAGGGTAAATTTTGCATTCATAAATATGGTTGATTTCTAGGTGGGTGTCATTTTAGACTCGGCCTGTTAAAATTTTAGGCAGAGGTTTCAGAAGTATTTGGTTGATCTTGAATGTCATTAGGTTCAGAATCGCAAATCTCGTATTGATCGTATGTTTCGGGGGTGTCTTCATAATAATTAGAATATTCCTTGGAAGGGTATTGTTCATGGAAGTTGAATAGCTCTTCACCTATAAAATTAGATGATCCAGAACGTCTAAAGTAATTTTGGTTTGGTTAGAAATTTTAGGAATTTGGTCTCGAAACAGTATCATGAGAAAGTCCACTTACTTACCGTGGTTGATGTTGAGATGGATTTGGTCTCCAAACATTTTTAGGTGGGCCAAAAGCTTGTCTATTGGTTGAATTTTTTTGCGGTGGTACTGGCTTAGGTTGTATTGGAATTGGGATACGAAGAAATGGTTGAGAAGTTTGCTGAATGGACTTTGAGAATGATGAGAAAAATGTGGCGTTTGGACGTTTTGGGAATTCGGATAAAATTGTGGTCCCTGATAATGTTGTGGACCGAAATAGTGATTTGAAGAATGTTTCGGATGGTGGTTGTGTTGGTTTGGAAGAGCTTTGTCATTGTTAAAGTCAGTTTTTCTTTAATATGAAATGCTATTCTCAGAAATTATAAACTGGCGTGCTTGGAAAAGAGAGAAGAAGATAGCTCGAACCGTAGAGCCTAAACTTTTACGCACGCCAGCCAAAAATATTCGAAGTGCATGTGTATTGTAGAAATTTTTCTTGACATTTTGTGTAGTCTCATCATCTTCATGTGTTCAATAAAATAGTATGAAGGACTTAAACTTGACATAATCTTGGTGTAAAATTGCAAGGCATCTTCGTTACCTTGTCTTAGTAGGTCAAGATCGAACAATAATTAATTTTCGTCTGTTTGATCACTGAAATGGGCGATCAAAGCACTTTTCACGCTTTGTCAGTCTTTAGAGCATTGCCAATTAATTTAGAATAAATTCCGTAAATGACAGTTATATTCTGTACACAATTAGCGTAACTATCCCAATAGGTGCTAATTAATGTATTTTAGTAGTTTCCAAAAATGCGGCTAACTCTAATGGGTTTCCGTCATATTTGTTAACTATCTCAAGAAGCTTTGACTAAAAATAAAGAACTTGTGGGAGCGACATTTCTGTTTCGGAATCGCTATCTAAGGTTAATGCGGAAAATCTTGGGCTAGTGTCCAAAACTACCTGAAATTGTTCGTTTGAAATTCTAAAACTACACTCGGCTTCACTATTTTCCTGTCCGGAATTAGGAGACGAGGACCTAAGAGAAATATACAAAAACTAGTGCAATAAGGAACAAGAGAGCGGAAAATGAGTAACTTACTCCACGATGAGGGTGTCATTCTTCTTGTTTCGTAACGTTCTCCTCCTCGAACTGTACCCACGGATATCCTCGATGGGTGGCCTCGTAGGGTAGTCGATCCGGCATGACTGCGCCACTTAAATTTCGACTTTTATTTTTAAGTTGCAAGGCAAAGATACAATAGAACTGTGAAAAGCTTATCTCAAGTTTGCCGGCCCGTTGTTTACTAGCACTGAAGCAGTGATGGGCGTATTGTATACATCATGTATAATACACCATTGTTTAAGCATATACAATGGTGAATATACACGTATACAATGTATATAATAGCAAGTCATAGTTCAACTACTTGCATACAGTGCTGGCGAAAGTCCCTTTCCCTTTTAGATTTTCATGTGTACGAGGAAGAGAGAGAATTGTAAAAGCGCGCCACACACCACGTTGCCTGGCACAGCAGTGATGAAGGCCACAGAATACGACAATGCCTTGTTTCCTACGCTCAAATATACATTTGTCGAATCTGTTTAGGATCAATTCCGGATCTATCCTAATGGTTCTCCGATTTTAGGTGGAAGTGATGAAAGTTCAGGATCGCTACAAATTCAGCAACATTGGATTATTGGTTTGACTATGAAATCAGTTTCTAAATAATGAGAAAGGATATAAATATATAATATATATTAATTTATACACGTATACAAAGAGACAGTTTTAAATAAATTAGGAACATTTCTTAAGTAAAATAAAACAAAATGCTTTCTGGAAACAAAATCCAGTCGTTTGACTGATTTCACTCAGCGTCGTCGGCATCGTTAATATTTTGATCAACAGGCCGTTATCTGTTAACCTTACTGAGTAATACACATGCATTAGCTTTTTAGACCTTCCAAATGCTAACCGGTTTCGAACCGGTGTATAAATTAGCGACCAGCTCGAAAATACTCTTTCTAGCTGGGCAGATGAAGCCGGGATTAATAGCAGCTTGAAGGCAAGTTTAGCTAATTTTGGGTAGACTATTTCAGCAGCATTCCAAAACACAAGCGGTTTTACTGCATCTTTCTTGTATAATATTTGAAACAAACCTTGTCTGTACCTTCCGAGTCCAAATTTTGTAAAATGAACATGTTAACTTTACTTGGGTGCTATTTTGTTAACTTGTCATTGTTGTAAGCTGGGTGCAGATAATATGCTGTTAAAGCGTATACATTTAACGCCATATCTTTCCTCTTATTTAGATGAGTCTGACATTTATTTCTAAAATTCTTAGGCAGTTTTAAATTCAACCATTGATCAGCTGCATCTGCTATTGAACATTCTGAATTCTGGCATGCGTTGATTAGCTTACAAATGGGATGAAAGAGATTCACATATTCTTCAACTTGCGCAATAAATTCCTCATCGTAAAGCCATGTCGTACATTTTATGTTTTTTGTTTTGATGTCAGCAGCAACGAGCTTCATTTGCGGCAAGTTTTTCAGAAATCAGACATAAGCTTCGTATACGAACACCGTCTCGTATCGCACGGTAACTTCATCCTATGTCCACCTCTTTTAACAACTTCGCTTTCAAAGTCAACATGCTTAAACTCCTTCAGTACAGTTACTACTCTTTCAGTGACTATCTAATCCAGTACGCTTTTTGCAAATAAATTAGCAGTGTGGCTACTACATGTGCTATGCCAAATGGTCTGATCAAGCTCATTACCCATTTTGACCATAACACTAGCATTATCAGAAACTATTGCATACACGTTTGTCTTGTAAGTTTCCGTAACGAATTCGATAGCCCTGCAAACGATTTCTGTTACTTTTTCACCATTCTCTATGTCTCCAGATATATCCCATGCATCCAAGGACACTCGCTTATTGTCGCAACTATGTAGCATACGAACTAAAGTTTTGGAGTTGCTTGATGAGTTCTTTCATCCGTCAACTGATGACACCGAATCAGTATTTATGGCTATTGAAGCCTCAGTAATGCTTTTTTCATAAGCATTGTCAAGCAACTTTCTATTAGATTTTTGAAATGGGTAGATTCCACTGCTGCAAGTGGAATGTTACACCCAAACATGAAATCAGACAGAGCTTTGTTTAGCTCCGATTCTTCATTTCCATTCAGCCTGTCAATAAACTTAGCGAGTCCAGTGCTCTTCTTCTGTTTCGTAGTAGCTGATGAAACATGTTGATGCTTACTGTTGTTTCCAAAAAGTTGATCGATTCACCCGAGGATGTTGTAGTTGTGGACGAAAAACCTTCACCACCGGGTCCTGAAATTTGCAAACGTAGGTATTACTTATCCAGCTTTTATAACAATGAGGTTGAGGTAAATGGAAAGAAGAGATATTAACACTAAGTACTCGAAATTTGCAAACACAATGAAAAGCATAACCTGTTGAGCTTAGGCTCTCAATAAATATATTAATTTTAACTGAGGCCTTTAAAGCGATGGATTCCGAACTAATGCGTGTCTGGAAGCCTCCCGAAAAATTCAAACACGCGGCACCACTGTATGCTTTTATGCTAATATGACATAGACAACGTATCGACTCGAGAACCGATGCGTGAAACAAAGGTATGATAAATGGGGGGTATACTCGGTCGCCATGTTTTTTCAAACACACTTCCATTGAGTGTTATCCTCTATCGACTTTGCTCGACTCCGCGTGATTGGTTTGAACAGCTGAAGACCGATCTCCTGCCATCTCCTCATTATTCATTACTCGGAAAAAACATGGCAGACGAGTATACATGCCTACAGTATATTCAAATAAGAGATAGACCGGACATAAACAAGACCACGTGATCATCGAACGCTGTAACATTCGGCAGGGACGTATTAAGAGTCACGCAGTACATATTTTAGATGGTAGATGCTGCTTTGCGTAACTTTGTAGTAAATTAGCACAATTCGATGTGTATACGATTGGTGATGGATATAGGATCATGTGGGGGTGGGGTAAGAAATATATAATGATGTAAATATACATAAGGGTTTCAAAATTTTCGCTTCGATTTCCAGCTTCGGATGCCGCCTGATGTTTGGTGAAATACAGTCGAATATAATCTCAAAATGGCGTTTAAATTAGCCTAAATTAAAAATAATCGTATATCTCTTAAAGTTGCTTTTAGAATATTGATTAGTATATTTTTTGATTTCTAGGTAAATATGTAACCAAATTAAAACGTTCAAAACGTAAAAAAATGTGCATGGTTGAACATTGTCAGAAAGTAGATTCTTGAATAGGTTTTGCCAAAATGGGTTCAAAAATGTCAATAATTAATTAAAAAATACAGTAGCTTTATAATTACTTATAACTTACCGAATTTGATGAACGACATCTTTTATTGGAAAGATGAGCTTGATGAGCTTTCATCATCGCTACTGCCTGAAGCACCAACGTCAATAATGAATGGCTCGACTTGTTCCTCTAAAATATTGTCCAGTTCCCACATTCTCTTTTCAACTTTGTCTTTCACGTGCTTAATACAGTTTTCCCATTTTTGCGCTGTTATTAATTCTAGTGCTTCTTTGAAAAGTCCTTTGAGGTCACAAAATTTAAAAGTTGTATTGTGCTTAGCTATATAATTTTTAACCTCTGCCCATATGAGCTCAATGGGATTGAGCTCGCAATGGTATGGAGGTAAACGGAGCATAGTTTTATTTTGACTTGCTGCCATTTCGCCAATGGCGTATTTTTTATATTCCGCCTTGTGATCCTTGACAATTCTTAATAATGGTACTTTCAGCATTGCTTCTTCAAAGTTGATATTTTTCGAGCGGAGCCAATTTTGAACATCAACTTTCCTTGAAGCCGTTGTTGGGACCTTCTCCATTCTTCGAGAATGATAAGGCGCATTATCCAACACAATTACTGCGTTTTCCTCTAAGTTCGGTAAAATTTTTGAAAACCACTGTTCAAACGATTCGCCATTCATTTCCTCGTGGTAATCTCCAGTTTTCTTAGACTCAAAGCACCACAGACCGTCAACAACAAATCCATCCTCACTGCCAATATGGCAGATAATGAGCCTTTTCCCTTTACCTGGAAATCGAAGTACTAACTGGTGTAGATTTATTTCAATAAGCGAACCTTTTTTCAAATGTTTTCATCACATTCAGCGAAAAAACATTGAGACGTGAGTATCAGATTGCTATAATTGGGATTATTTAGTCATATTGAAAGAAAGAATATTGAACGTCGTATGATTACTCAGCGCTTCACAATTTAATTTAAAGTTATAAACCTTTAAAAAATGAATGATCAGGAACCTGAAATACGCGCAAATATTAATATTAACAAATTATAACTTTATAAAGCTTAAAGTATGAATTAAAATGATTAGAAATATTAGGAACGGTACACAATATAAAACTTAGTAACTTTTTTTAAGTTTATAATATTCGACATATTTTAAGATTATATTAAAAAATTATTGAAATATCGAAAACACAAAAACATGGCTTAAAAAAGTTCTAACAAATGAAAATGACAACAAAACATCTACGCATTTTATCGAAAGTTATAAAAGTTTTGTTACTTGTAATATTTTTTATCTGCCCCCTGGAATTAATGTTTAGAACCTTGTTCCCAAGGTTTGAAAAACATCCGATTGTTGTCTATTACTCGTATTTACCTGCTGGATTTTTTAATCCGGTGGACAGTCCATCTAGAAAGGCCCTCCTGGATGAAGTTACAGAATCATCAACCCATACTTTACTTGTAGTGTGTCCTGCGTTTACCCACGTTTCATCAAAGTAATAAATCTTCCTGTTTTGATTTCTATATTTCCCAATTTTTGTTAAATAATCCCTCCTCCATAGCACAATTTCTTCTCTATCCAGTAGTAAACTATTACGACCCCGTTTTTTCCATTTGAAATTTAAATGCTTCAGTAACGCATGGAAAGTTGATCGTTTGAAATTTGGCAACGTTGTATCTCCATTTACCTCCTGCAGTACTTTATCTATAGTAGGTATTTCATTCCTAAAGAAGAATTCATGCACTTTCCTCCTAATCGCATGCTTATCAGCTTCATCCAATGATTTAACAATACTTTTGCGATGTTTACTGGTCATTGGCTCAGAAAAGGTGTGATTTTTTTGTATTGTCTTAACACATTAAACACTGATGCGCGACACACCCCAACTTTGTGAGAAACCTTCACAACAATTTCTTTGATGGTTGATGCCTCGTTCTCCTCGCGCTCGATCTTATATATATTCAAAATGACCTCTTTCATTTCTGCACTCAGGTGTCTTTTTTTAGAGCGTTTCCTAGGTGGACTACAGGAGTTTACAACTTCATCGGCAGTATCTGTACTACTGGGCATTTTGCGCAAGCAGTTGATAACAATAACAATCAATAACAAGGTATAACAATAACAACGACAAACTCAACAACTTAATAAGATAACAAACGAAACCGTCCAAAGAAATATCAAATTGCAATGATGCACACGACATACATAACACGTCTGAACCTGAATGTGACTCTGCCTTGATACGACTGCTCTGCCGCTCGGCGTAGGCATTTAATTGCGAATTGACCAATGACGGCTCCTGTTTTACGTCGAGACGGCGGCGTTAGCGTGAAAATCACCCGAACCTTTTGTTTACATCCGGTCTATCTCTTATCTGAATATACTGTAGTATATGACCCTAGTCCTAGTTCAACGCTACGTTTTAAATCGATATCTCCATCGGGAGACTGTTGTTTTCATACTTAGACGAAATGAAACAAATCACTGACATGCTCACCTGCCTGATGAGTGGAACCCACTAAATTAAGTATTCCTCCCTCCATAACTTCATACTCGACTGTATCATGAACGTCTGCTGTGCGGTGGAAACTGTTGGGCGAGGACTGCGGCTTCAGCTCCTATTACGGATGTTAGTGTTGTTACATACATTCTGACTGCAAATATTCCTCCAATTTCAAAAGAACTTTTCAATATAGTTTCTGGTGTTTGGTCTGTGCTTATATTAGGCAAGCTGAAATTCGTAATATGTTTTTCCATTTATGAACAAATTGAACCCTAGTTCATCGATTTGTTTTTGGGACGTCCAACCATATTTTTTAAAGTTGCCGCTTCACTGTTTATCAACTTTCTGACGTTTGCGAATAAACATAACCTCACTTATGCTATTCTATACGTTGTATTCATCATTGTATGCATTGTATTCACTGTATATGCAATGTATACATTGTAGACGCATTGTATACATCGAGACGTAGACAATTAATGTATACGCGTAATCGCCCATCTCTGCACTGAAGTAATCTATGCAGGTTTCAGCACATATTTATGGTGGTGTGATGCTGCGCCTTGTTCCATTACAACGTAAGGGATTTGATTTTGATTCACTAGTTTGCGAGAACTATTTCAAGAATAAATTAAGCTCTGAATATATTTTTTCATTGAATAAGATTAGTTCAAATGACGTATTACAGGCAACAGGGAGCCTAAAATCTGATGCGAATAGAATTGGTGGTATATCCCTGTCAATGATCCAGCTTTGCCTGCCAGTTATTCTCCGTCACATCGTCCACATCTTTAACGACTGTTTGGAAAAAGGCTACTTTCCAAACACATGCAAACAAGCTCTAATTATTCCAATTCCTAAAAAAATGAAACCCACTGAGTATAATGATCTCAGTTTATTACCAATTTTATCCAAAATTTTAGAAAAAATTATCAAGTTCCAATTGACCGCTTACCTAGAAAAATTCTTTATACTTCCCGACACCCAATCGGGTTTTAGAAAAAATTATAGTACAACATCTGCCCTACTCAATCAGCAAGACAATATTTTAAGTGCCTTAGATAAGAAAATGGCACTAGCCTTAATCTCTATAGACTATTCGAAAGCCTTTGACAGCATCAATTATAAATTATTACTTGCTAAAATAAATTACATAGGTCTTGACAGTGTATCCCCTTCATTTTTCGACAGTTACCTTCTTTAAGGAACTCAGTGTGTTTTTTCAATCAAGAAATGTCTCAAGTGACAATAATTTCCTCAGGCGTACCTCAGGGCTCTGTATTGGGGCCGCTCCTGTTCCTCATATATACGTTCGACTTAAGCAAAAGTATTGGTAATTCTCATGTCCAGTCATTTGCAGACGATGCGCAATTGCTCCATTATTTTAACACTGATAATGTCAATAATACTACTAAAATTTTACAAAACGATGTTAGTAAATTAATTAAATACTCCTTAGATCACAATCTACTTAATAATACACAAAAATCTAAAATGTTATTATTTTGCGCACAAAGAAAAACATACAATGTAAAACAGCTCTTGAACATTCAGATAAATAACCAAATCTTGCAATTTTCTGATTCTGCAAAAATTCTTGGTGCTGTTTTTGATACAAAATTAAGGTTTATTGAACATGATAAAAGTCTATCCCAGAAAACCTACCTACGGCTGCGTACTCTTATAGCAAACAGGTATTTACTAAATTTTAAGTTGCGTAAAAAATTATGTGAAGCATTGGTCATATCTATACTAAATTATTGCAATATCGTATACTATACTTGTTTAGATAATTTCACTAAAACCGTTATTCAAGTTTTTCAAAACAATTGTATAAGTTTCATCTTTGGCTTACGTAAATTTGATCATACATCAGCGAAATATCCCGTTCTAAACTGGTTAAAAATTAATGACATGGTGAAGTATCACTATTCAGTTTTTGTTCACAAGTTGCTACTCACGTCTAAACCTTATTATTTGAGGGAAAAAATTTCATTTAATAATGATGTTCACTGTAGAACTCACAGAGAACATAATATTAGAATGCACCTGCATACGACTACACTTTTTGAACGCAGTTTTTCTTACAATGTTGCTATTATTTATAATGACATTCCTAAAGTATATAAAGAATTTTCATTACCTGTCTTTCGACAAAAAGTTAAAACATTATTACTCAACCCTCCAAACACATAATTTACGTAATCATTCATTTCTTTTTTATTCCATCTTTAATTCAGATTAATAATTTTTTGGTGTACTTGGGTTTGGAAAGTATGCCTTTTTCTCTTTTTTTGAATTTAGTTTCGATGTAATGAACCAAATCTGTTTGTGGATAGTGTATTCTTTTGAACATCTGCTAGAGACTATATGGTTAAGTGTAAGAGTAGCAGCATGCTAAACTTCGCCATGAAGTCTGACATTTGACTATACCACAATGTAATTGTGGATAAATAGAGTTGTCTATTATTATTATTTATTATTATTATTTGTAGCAACATAAGGAGAGATACTTATTATTTTCAATTTTGGTAATATTTCCGAAACTAAAATTTGAACCCATATTTCTTTATTTTGCAGATGACTGGATATCTATTTTTGGAGATCCTACAAAGTTTGGCCTTGGTTTGTTTTCTGTGGCATTCGACATCTTCTTTATCGTACAGCATTACGTGCTCTACAGAAAATCAAACTATGAAGACAGAACGGATGTATGCTAAAGTCTTTTGTATTTTAAGATAAAGAACTTACCTACATATGTGATTTATAAGAGTACTTTGTATTGTAGGAAAAATATATTTTTTGAGGTTTCATCAGTCAGAAATTGACTGATTGAAAATACCTTATCAAAGTACATGTAGTTTTGGTCAACATATCCGCGTAATATGATAATTCTCATGATAACGTTGTCTATGCTTACGACTGTAAGCCTTATGACAATAAACTATTATTATTAATCGATATCAGTTTAGGAAAAAAACTGAATGCATATACAATTTAGAAAACAAAACTAATGTCAGACATCGTTTCCTTCAGTGAGAAGAAGAAAAGGCAAGTGATCATACAGAAGTTGATAATACAAGCCCTGAAGAACAGGATGGTCTTGTTTGACCCATCGCAAAATCGTGTTTATCATATTATGTATTTCAAATAACAAACAGGAAATGGGCCAATTATTTTGTACAAATATATTTATTGTTCAGTTATATTTTAAAATGTAATGTATGGAATAAAAGTGTTCACTACGTATCATTTTTTTTTTGTTCATTTTAAGTACCATCATGATGCAGATTTATTCGAAAGTCTGAAAACAGCCGAATATCTTGGGAAGCAGTGGATAAATATTCGTCAAACTTTGAACAAGGGAATAATCAATCATTCCCGATTGAATAGTGATTATTCCGTTATTGCCAGATCTACCGTTGTTCCGTGGCTCCAAATAAGGATACGGACAACGACAACGATAACGCCAAGAGTAACGATAACACTAACAAAAATGATAATCGAAATGATAACACAGGCCCACAAAATAAAAAAGCGGTGTGTGCTGGGGATCCCATCGTATTTTTTCCATCTATTTTCCAACTGACGACGAAGCTGAAGTCAGAGTTGGGTGATCGCTGGACAAATATTAAAGTAATTCACGCATCAAAATCACAAATGTTCCTATTTCACGTCTGCGGGATTCATATCCACCATAAATACCAATATTTGTGATCTAAATGCCTAAATTACTTTCATATGTGTCCAGCGACCCCAATTTTGACTCCACATTCGTGTTCAGTGGGAAAAGATAGATGCAGCCGCTGTGAGATATGTTTTCTTATTGAAGGATACAAGCGATTATACAGGATTATTTTAAAGAAATCGATCGATACTTATCAAACATTTGACCTTTCACCACCATTGAAAACTGGACACACTATGGATAACTTCCGTATGGCAGGAAATATGTTAGATTTTATGGTCAACTTAAATAGCTTTGCAAGTACAGGTGTAAGCGCCCTAGCACAGTTCTTATCCTGAAATTGATTAATAGTAAGATAACAAGTCAGGGTCACGCCCAAAGTTCGTAAATCTCTTTCTGTACTTTTTCACTCAATATAGTTGATGAAATCAGAATTGTACCAATACACGTTTATCAAGAAGGTTATACAGAATCGCATATTATAAAAAGAAGATATCACACCATACTGGAAAGTATGATAACGAACAATATCTAGAATCACTGGCGCGATGTACGCCAAACAAGAAAATAAACAGTCACTCAGGATCAGACAGTGGTAATCGCGTTGTTGGCACATCTGCTATTTAGTCAGAAACAGTACCAGTTTTCTGAGTCTGAATACAGTATTTATTTTTATCTTCGAACATTAGCACTCTTATCAACCCTTAGTAATATGATTACATAATCAAAAGTGTGGAAGTATATGGTATATCTTATAAATTACAGAGCCGATATCTATCAAACTTATATTATACGTATATATTTTACCTTTTACAATGCTAGAATTGGATAATGCTCTCAGCGAGGTTAACTGTTTATCAACTGGTCCAGACGACATGCTGAAACATCTTCCCAAAAGAGGAACACATATACTACTGGAACTTTTCAACCGAATTTGGAGGAAAGGCGCGTACCCTGATCAATGGCAGGAGGCCATCGTAGTTGCCATACAAAAAATCGGAAAAGGCCCTAAGAACCCTATCAACTACCGTCCTATATCACTTACCAGTTGCATCAGCAAAGTTTTAGACAAAATGATTAATAAACGACTGATTTGTTTTCTAGAAACAAACAATATTCTTTCGGACTACCAGATAGGTTTTCGAAAGTTTAGACACAGCCATTCAACAATCCTTTGCTGAAAGAAAATACTTAGTAGCAATTTGCTCCGACCTGGAGAAGCTTATGATAAAAGAAATTAATATAACCTAAACCCAGCAATCGGGCTCCGAAAGTCCCATAGCAACCCCCAGAGACTGAAGGCGTCACACCTATATGAGCTAGTTAATTTGACTATCCTTACCCGCAATTACTGAGTCCGTAAGCCATTAATAGAAATATGAATATAAGTTATGGAATCCTGTTGGTAACATAACTATGTGGTACAAGCCCATTATTCCAACAAATTGAATTGTATGGCAAGCAAGCCCATTAAGAAATATTTGCTTTTTACTTCTTTTTTTCGATACAGCTCTGTTATTTTTCCTATAAAGATTAGAATTATATCGAGGCACAGACAGATTTTGTTCAATACTTGTAACCACTCTTCGTTCCTGCAATAAAGTCTGTTATTTTTTTACCATACGACGTGTGCATTCTTTATCTGGCGCTGCGAACAGGATCGTTATACGCCTTCGTGGAAAACATCTGGAAGTTTGTACGAGCCCAGCCAACCATCAGTAAAATCTTCGAGATTCATCAGGTGAGCTGAACTACGTCCCTTCTGTGTGACCAACCATTGTGAGGTAGGAAGTATCCACTTCCGTAAGAGAAACGATCTGAGAACCTGAGAGCCACGTCCGAGCTCCCTGCAGAAGGAGCATAGAGAAACGGAGAGCTACAAGAACCAGAGCAGTCTCCGTTATGAAAAATTTGATTTTTCACATAACGCTAGAGTAAGCCAAATCCATTTTATCTATTTAGTCAAAGAAACTTTTGGTAAATCTCCAGTACGAGAACGATCACCCATTAGAAGAAAACCAGTAAAAAACCAAGCTAACGTTAGAGAGGAATTCAGAACAACCATGGCTGACAATCTACAAATGTTATTTAACCTATTGAAAGATAGTGTGCCTATTTCCTCTGAAACATCAAATAATTTATCTGTATATTTACGTAAATCTAGAGAATTTGTTGCCGCTTTGCATGGCCCATATCAAATTCATGCTTTATCGTACGTAAAATCCAAACTACAAGGAGAACCTTCTGTTATCGTTGAACGAAATAATCCTCAAACTTGGCAAGAATTTGAAGAAATTCTCAAAGAACGTTACAAAGATTCAAAATCCGAATTAATGCTACTTGCTGAACTTAGAAATGTATCCCAGCACACAGACTATATGAATTTTCATACTGAAATTTTGCAAAAATTACATATTCTTAGAGAATATGCTCTTTTGGAATTTTCTGATGCCGTTGCTCAATCTAGAGTCGACCTTTACACAGAAGCTGCATTAAATTCATTTGTAACTGGTATTAAAGAACCATATATATCACTCCTATTTAACGCAACACCTACAACTCTTCAAGCTGCCTTACAAATTTGTCGAAAATACGATAATTTGCAAATACAATCGCAATGGAAAGTATTTACTAAATAAAATGCCAAAAATACTAACGCCATTCAAAAACCGAAACCTACAAATACCGTTCAAAATACACCTATGTGGCGATTCTCTTCAAACTAACAATTTTACAATCCGTAATTTTACCAACAGCCACAACGATCTAACTTCCCACCTGGCCCGATTAACATCAGACCAAATTATTTTAATAATCAGTTTCAAAGACAAATTCAACCACGACAGCTTAATTTCTATCCACAAAATAGACAAGGTCCACCAAAAAACTTTAAACCGACACCCATGTCTACATCAACTATTACGAACCGCCCCTCGCAACAACAGAATCAATACCGTCCTAACTTTTTCTCAAATCACGGACAAAGACCAAATTTTATCGCTGAAGAACTAACCAACACCGAAGCGACCGAACAATCACAAAACGAACAAGAATACGATGAACAGCAATACTATGATCCAAATTACGAAAATTATGACCAACAAGAATATGAAAATTCAGATAGGAACCCTACTGTCGAGTTTCCCCCTGAAGAGACAACTCAAAATTTTCCGAAAGCCCCAAATCAAAACCCATTGACTTAGATCTCAATAATTATGAGAACACACATTTGCCATACATTTATTTAAAAAATTTAGATTTGCTAGTTCTTATAGACACTGGTGCATCTGTCTCTTAGATTACATTTATCCAAAACACTTTTCAATAAAATCTGTCATTGGTACTAAACACGGTGAATACGCTTTGCGAATTCCTTTGTTCAATGAACATGGCATTAACACTGAAATTGAATTTCTCATTTTAGACTGGCACGAACGTTTTGACTGTTTGCTAGGATATTATGATCTACAAAAATTTGAAGCTACTTTACAAACATCTAAGAATTTGCTATCCATTGATCGTTTAAACTTTATTTGCCACACTGACAATATACCACGTAAAGTCCCGAATACTGTAATCAAAAATCAAGTTCTAAAATCCCCTATCAAAAATGGACAAATTATCGTTCCACCTATTAAATATCTAAATTCTAACGATTACACACCCGAAATGATTTGTACCGTTAATAATTACGAAGTACTATACCCAGAAAATCCAAATCTATTAGATTTAAACTATCAATGCATCAAATACGACAATTTGGATAATTACGATATTGAGACACCCCAGAATGAATATAATTTAACTGATATTGGAACTTTAATAAGAACTGATCACATGAATGACGAGGAAAAATACAAGATAACAGAACTTTGTAGAAAATTTCCTGAAGCTTCTCTAAAACCTAACGAAAAAGTAGAGCCATGTACCGTAACATCTCATTCTATCAGAACAAAACACGACGACCCAATATTTGTAAAAATTTTTCGCTATCCAGTCTATTTAAAAACCGAAATTCAGAAACAAGTCGCTAAACTTTTGCAAGATGACATCATCCGTCGCAGTACAAGTCCGTACTCATCACCTGTATGGATCATAAATAAGAAGCCTGATGCTTCCGGCGTTAAAAAATATCGCATGGTAATCGATTTTTGTAAACTAAATGACATTACTATCGAAGATAAATATCCTTTGCCCCGAACTGAAGAAATATTAGAGAGTTTAGGCAAAGCCAAATATTTTTCAACGTTAGATCTGGCACAAGGATTCCATCAGATTCCTATGCATAAAGACTCAATTGAAAAGGCTGCGTTCACCGTCGACAACGGGCACTATGAATACTTACGAATGCCCTTCGGACTGAAAAGCGCTCCAGCAACATTCCAAAGAATGATGAATTTTGTTTTAAAACCTTACATCGGAAAAATATGTTTCGTCTATTTAGATGACATAATAATTTTCTCAAAATCATTTCAAGACCACCTTATTCATTTGAAATATATATTTCAAGCTTTAATTAAACATCAATTGAAAATACAACTTGACAAAACAGAGTTCC